CCTCAAAAGGTCAGGCCGCCTGAGCTTTTGCAGCCTTGCGCCTGACCCACTTAACTTGTTTTCAAATTTCAGAAATCAATCCATTCCTGGAATGAGTACTGAGCTCATAGCCTCTTCTTGCCCCACTGAAAATTTGGAGCAAAACACTCCACCCCTGGGTAAATTCTGCCTCATTCAATAGGGGATTGACATCAAAATCCGTCGTCAAATTGCGTGTACTTGTAATGTGCAACCACAGAAAAGCGATCATACAGTCTCCTAAAATTCAAAAACTCTGCAGGAGAGACTCGTTTTTCCAGAGTGTCATACTCTGGCGTTCCGAAGGTGGAGAGGATTAAGAGGGGGTCGTTTGGGAGCTTTCCTAGAAGGGGGGAGGGTCGTTTCCGAACGACTTGTGCCTGACTTTTTGCTCAACTCTGGTCATACACAATAGATAGGTGGAATGTTTCGTGTTTCCATCCAGTAAAATATAGCTTTCTCTTCTCTTTCTCTAATAGGTGCTTCAACCCGTGCCAAAGCTTGCCTTTTGCAAAATCTATAGATACATTTGAGCCATTCTTATTATCACATGTGCCATTGCACAGCAGGTGCGCGTGATCTCAAAGAATATTCTGCATTTTCCGGATTACTGGCGACTGAAATGTACTATGTAAAACACTTTTAATATAACCTTGTTTTATATTAACTTCCTCTCCGAAAAGGCACTTATTCTTGCAATTGTTTAGGCAATGAAGACCGCAAATTGTATCGTTATTGCCAATTTGGCCTTTCCAAGTGCATTAGTGTTATCATACCATATGATTACGGTTCTGATTACGGTATCAAAGCATTCTTTATAGATGATGGTCTTCATCTTTCTCAAACAGGTATACGTAGCGTACTTCGACGTTTCCATTTTTTTTTTTGAAAATGTCTGCAAGGAATGGACCATAATAAAAATTAATTGTGATTTCTCTTATCCATTTTCGACAAATTTTTTCTAGCGAAGCAAAATTGTGACCCGATCGCTTACTTTAAGTGAACACGCCGATAATCGCCAAAAAACTAGTCGAAAATGGTTCAGAATAGTGTTCGTGAAAGATCAGCTTATGGGTCAGTTCATCTCAGCTTGTTTGAGAGAGAGAGAGAACCAACTATTTTTTTTCTACTATTAAGGGAGATCTGACTTGCAAGTTTTGCATCTAGCTATTAAATTCGATAGCTCCTATCTGTTATGAACTGCATTCAGAGTCGTGATGAAGGTGTCATTCCTGACTTATTTTGCAAGAGACGAAGGCCTTGCGCAAACGTTGCGATTGCGCGTATACACCTTAAATCGTCATCTAATCGAGGATCGAGGTAACATCGCCTTTCCTGCTAGTTGTGAGACCTTCACGGCAACGAATTCAGAAGTGTTGTTTTTGGCGTTCCTTTCGAATATATTTCTTCACTGTAGTCGTGCAACTCAATACCTTGTTTATTATCCTTTTCGATGCTACTCTAAAAACACAATGCATTCGATTCTCAGTTAGTTGGCCCAAACGCTTTGACATCTACTAAGGAGTCATCTTGCTTTTGAAATTTTTTTCTGATAAGCTCGTCGGAACGTGTTGATCATGTTCAAAGTCTGAACAAGATTCAAATATCTCGCACATGGCATTTTCAAATTTTAGGCGTATCTCTCATTTGGATAATTCCGATGCTTCACAGCACTTTGCTGTTTTCTTCACTTGTCATTTATTGAGAGCCTGGGCATACTTCACGCGAGTTTCGTCGCGACCCGATTTGGCGGCACTCCCTTTGACTAAATCTTGTCGTGGGCATTCTTTCCTTCTTCTCTTATTCCGCCATTTCTATATGTCATAACATACTATATCGTGCATCTCCCAAATTGGTTCCTATAGATACAATGTCCGTTCACTGCCTTCCGCTCTATTTGATATCACTCGAAATGCCTTCAATCTGCTAAAGTTAACATTCTAAGAAGAGCGAAAAGCAGCGCTGACGTAGTACTTCTAGAAACAGTTCTGGCAGGTGCACCATACGTAAGTGGGATATGAGATACATCCCAGTTGCACAAGAAAAGAGAAAGCGGAAATGCCACACTTAGTCACAGATTTGAGAACAAAGCAGACAAAACACCTCGACTGGAGAAAGGGTGAAATGATTCTAAAATGAATCAATTACATCATAGAATCACAGGAAACTGAGCCTTTGCTTCATCCCGTCGCGCGCAGCATGTGCGCTGTGAGGACACAGAAGTGAAAACACATGACATAAAGGATTCTGAATCACAAAAAGGAAACTAATTGTTGACGGAGTCACAACAGTCGGCAAAAGCGCGTATATAAGAGTGCCAAAGTCAGCAATGAATACTGAAATCGATGACCTCAAGTTGCTTAATTTAAGCGGGAGGATACTTCACATTTATTCATTTTTATTTTATTTATTTTTTTATTTTCATTTTTTTCATTCATTTTCTTATTTCATTGCGCGATTTGCACGCAATTTGCCAATCCAAATGTTTTCAATTCTGATACGCGCGGACTGCATATATTATATAATTTACACGAGTGATTAAATTCTCCAAAATGAACTGTTGTAGAGCTGTCCCTTATATTGGAACTTGCTCGCTCACTATAGGCTAGGTCGATATGGTCTCTGTGGTTGCGGCGTACCCGCCTCACCTTGATATATTTGTGTGTGTTGTTCTCTAGTTATTCCTCGTAAACCCTCGGCATGTACGCCGATAGGCAGAGGGGGAACTTTTGTGTTTTTCTAATAAATCGTCAACGACTCAACGCGTTCTACTAAATGAACACACTGCGACTTTCAACTAGATTAACGTAGCAAGTGCATAGCACAGAAACGAAATGAAAAGATGCTTCAAACGTTACGCTAAGTAGTGCCTTCGCGGCAGTCTAATGCGCGTAGCGTGAGCGCTCTGAGGAACGAACGTGAGTCTCGGCTACAGCCTATCTTAATGCCGATGTCACTTGAGAAGTACGCTTCTGCATTGCAAGGGCTTCGAGTGCTAGTTTTCGATCACTAGGGCCGATCCAAAAGTTAAATGTGCTTGCGAGCATAGCACAAAGCTCATAGCGAGCACATTTTTCAATGATTTACAAAGTTTTTCGCCTTTGAAAGTGTCGGGAGAGGATTGCGTCGAGTAACGTAGTCAGAGCCCCGTAGTAAACCCCCATTCATCTCAGGTGACTTGAGATGAATCATTTAGAAGAACTTCCTCGGGTGACCCTAATCCCGCCCACCTTCCCGTGCTTTAGGATACTCAGTTCAACAGTCAGAAGAATGTCTGATCAAGTGTCACAGTCAGCTCACCAGAATGCCACTTATCCGAGGTTGAATTTTAGAATGACCCATAGTGTGCTTAAGAGGAGGATCAGACAAATTTCCCGTAAGTTGCTCGTGAGTAACTTACGGGACAATCTAGCCCACGTATTTTTGCGGTGCAAAACTCCCAAAATTTCACGTTTTCGGCGGCCTGAATGGGAGAGGATCGATGAACAGCTGATTGCGGCTAAAAAACGAGAACAGGATTTCTTGGATTTTTTTTCAGAGCTTGACTGCGTTTTTCCTTCAAAAACTACTTGAAACAAGGATTTTTTGATTTTTTAAATTTGCTCTATGTTCAAAAATTTTCGTTTTCGATGAATTCTTTGCCAAAATGTGGTAGTTTGTTTTATCCATCGTTTGTTTGGCGATACCTTTGGCAGCGGTCGCCATCGGTTTTTCTCGATAGCGGCCGCTATCAAAGATTGTCCTGCGGTGGCGCAAAAATGTGCCACTAGCTGGCTTTGAAACATGGACTTTCTCAATGAACATGCACTTAGCCTCTCGACCACACCACTCAAGGGAGTAATTTTTTGAGAACGAACAGGATCTTTGGGTCTGAAAAGCGATCCGAATCCGGATCGATGGCTCACCGGATGCCGGACTGAGGCGCTCTACGTTCAACGTAGGCCCGCCCCCAGCCGAGTTGGGCTGAGAGGGGGTTTACTACGGGCCAGAGAATTTAGTGCTAATTGGATAAAGGGAACTGAGCTATGCGCTCAGAGGGAACTGAGCTATGCGCTCAGCAAGATATTCTAATTTCAGTTTCTGATTAAACCAATAGGTTTTTTGTAACTAGTTATTTCTATGTTCAACACATTTATGTATCCACCAAACGCTTGTAACATTCACCTTGCAAGATGCGCACCTTTGAAATTACGAAAGTCGAAAAAATGACGTGTCTTGTTTGTATTCTGCCTCCTTTGCTCAAGGCAATCCACCTACAGTCTAAGAGCTGTATAACTCTTCTAAAAAAACAATTTGGCGATTTCGAACATCAATCTAAGATTAGCGTTTGAAACGAGTATTTCGTTATACAGTGGGTAAATTGACGAGTAATCTAGCAATAGTATCAAGGTATAAGATTTATGGCCTCTCGCAGAAACTTCTAAGGAACCTCTCGAGCTTCAATAACCTTAACTAAAAAGTCAAGGGTAGATCTTGACACTGCAGCAGTATTCATGGTTATCGGAAGTTAATCCTTATACACAAAAAGTAGCTTACACGAAACACAACTCATTTGATCACAGTCTTTTCTAACCTTTCTCAGAGACCCTTCTAAAACTCCGCATGCCGTGTCTAAACACATTGTCCAATAATTCATCAAAAAATTCCAACATCCTTCTCAATGACACAAATGTAAGGACGCTTGCACAAAATGGAAAGACTATGACGGCTTATTGGAAATTAGTCACTGAAATAGCGAAAAAGTACGGTTTCGAGATAACTGAAAAAGATCCGAAATCATCTCGACCACTACAGAGCAAAAGTTACATCAAAAGGGAATAACTTTTGAAGGAAACATCAGCGATGAAAAAAGTAAGGGCCCATGACAGCCTAACTATCTGTCATAGGCGATACTCTAGATAGCGAACAACAACTGGTGGCGGAATCACAACCTCAGAAGAAAGTTTTGCCAATGAAAATGACACATTCCATTCAACACTACGATGGAGGAAGAGTTATGGAAATTCTTCGACAAAACACTAGCCATTATCCCATTCCGCGAAGAAGAGAGCGCTATAGGCAAAGTAAGTGTTGGCGTAGACGCTGATTCTAATGACTGTTTAGCATTTGCATAGAAGAACTCTAGTCTTCCAAAACGGTGCAGAAGATGAGCGTCCTGAACCCCTAATGGTTAGGCTTAGGGGCCTATTGCGGCATATTTCCTATTAGTTCACCTTCTTAACGTTTCATTTAGGATGAATTCGAAACAGATAGCGACGAAAAAGAGGAGAATTTCATGAAAGAGGAGAAGGAGGGCGAAATTGTGTGCGAGTCGGAGGAACTGGAGGAGGAACATCTTTTGTGCGCGGAACCGAAGGAATGATGAAGAAGAAGAAGAAGAAAAAGAAGCAAGAGGAAGTGGTGGTGGAGGTGGAGGTGGAAGAGGAGCGGGCGGGTACGAGGTACCTGGTAGAGGCGGCGGAGGAGTATTGTGCAGTAGCCGAAAGCGCAGGATTACAGAAAAAGATTTGATAGAAGGGCAATTTCGTCTTTGCCAGGTAAGCAGAATTTTGGCTGGAAAACCTTAATTATGGTAATTTCCAAAACTAAGGAAAATTCTTCTGCGAAATACGCACTTTGGATGTATTGTGTGATTACATCACGTTGCACGTGCAAGACGGCAGAACATTAAACGGGCAGCACGGCGGGTGGGTGGTGAAGAGAGGGAACCAGCAAATTTCGTTGCAGATAAGAACACTGAAGATTCTGTTGTCTCTAGCCAATGATGAAGAATGAAATTGCAATTTCCTATTATATTTCCTGTTTTTCTGCTTACATCCCAGTTGATACTTGTTACCAAAATCAAATCAGTTGTTTTCTGATAATGCATCATGATATAAAGGCATTCTTTTTACACCAGCTTTTACACAATGAAGATGAAGCGTAAGGACGAATAAGACTGCGTCGTTCGAATAGTTAGATCGATACGATGGAAGCTTGCTACTATCGCTACTCAGCCATAAGTTATGACACTATATAAAATTACCTAATCTACCAACTTTACCAAACAATAATTTATTATTCAAATCATTTGTCAATTGTTTTGGAATCATCATTGATAGTTCTTAATGATAGCTTTGTCGTTTTTCTGCCTATCCATTGCATCTTCGATGACATCATCAAGACCAGTGCTGCACGTTGAAGTACACAAGCTTAGTAAGGCAGAGTAGCAGGAATTGTTGCTTTCTTAGTCCTACACAAAAAGACATCAAAATTTGATAATGGAAGCTGACAGCTCGATTTATAGTTTTCAATCTATAGTGAAATATATTCACTTCAAGATTGAAAAAGCTAAGAGAACAATTTCTCATCGAAAAAGTTTCGTTATGTACTTGCTCAATTTCGCTGTGCGATGTTCCCATCACTTCTGTGTCCTTCCTTTCCGATTTCTAGAATAATGACTAACAAAATCTGATCTTTACAAAACAGCTTAGGGTTGGGCCAAACTGCGCGGCGTACGCGGCGTACGCTCCTATGATGAAACATACCGAGCGTATGCTTTCCCAGCGTAGTCTGGCCCAACCCTACTTGGATCAATTGATTGTGCATAAGCTCCCATCAATGTGTCCACTCTCAAACAAAACTGAAAGAAAATTCTATTAAGGTAAGAATGTGTCTCAAAGAAGTTTTGTTTGAAGTGCAAAAACTTACGTTTCAATAGTTCACGTGTTACTGATCTTATCTCACAACCGTTTAGTGCTCACACGAATCTCCTCATATGAAGAGTTCAGAAAGGCAAACACAGTAGAAACTGACATATAGCAACAGCGAATCATGGACACAGCTTGTGTTATTAAGGAAAGTATTTTGCTTAAGCAGATTGACAGACTTGGTTTCTTTTACTAAATAAGTAATGGATAAAGTATACTACAGCACAGCTCACCAAGGATTGAATAACGACAATTCGTTCCGTATCCACTCATGCAAAGTTGGAGCCTGAGTGAGACTGAGCCCTTTCTGTGACCCATGTTTCAATGATAGATGAGACAACACAAATGCATCGGATGTAACTAAACGGTATTTTGATCTGTGTTTGAAAATAAAGATTTATTCTTTCGCCACCCCCATAACCCTGTACTTCCTGATTTCCGCGGTAGACAAGAAAAAAGTGAGAACAAGAGATATGATTCTTGATAAAGCTCAATATACGAAGAAGCCAAATAGTGATGCAAGAACTTTGGAAGTGATCACTTCCATGAGCATTCTACAAAACAGTCAACCTATGCAATTACGCCAACCTGCTATGTATTCAAAAAAAACTGACAACTGACTCGGAATATAAATAACTTTGTGGACCTTAAAAGTGACAGCGACAATAATAGGGAAATGAGCGACTGATTGCAGCTTTATAATAATTGAATAACAGCAAAATCAGCATGAGAGTTGAGGTAGAAGGGAGATCAGCAGCCATAAATCGGATTTAGCGCTCAGAATTCAATTGCTCACTCAAAATTTACGATGAATATAGCAAAGTACTGCAGATTGATGAACAACATGATTAGTTACCCGTTGCGCATAGGCAATGACCTTTGAAAGGGGAGACTACTCCAAGGTAATACACTCCTCCTTGTCATCAACTTTCCGCTTTTTTGCAGATATAGGCAGCGCTCCAGTACCAGAAGATTTTCATTTTATCATAACGCGTACCTATTGAGTACGTTTACCTTTTGGTCCACTCACGACATAACTGCAAGACAGCAAAGATTATCTTATTTTCAAAAATTTGTCACCTCAAATTAACTTAAAAAGCATAGGGTGTAAAATGAGTTTTTGAGTTACGATCAACTCAAGGGGCGGTATTTATCAATCTCCGACTTGCTCTTCGGGCCATTATTGACGAGTGCTCGGACAGGATAGAGCGCCAATTTGGTGATTTATCAAACTTTAAAATGTAGCAAGTTTGGTTATGGCGGAAACGACTCGGGCAGCGGAGCCCGTGCTGTCGAGATCTGGTTCTGCCCGACTGCAGTGCCCTACATGGCTAAACTTCCCATCGGACCTATTCTCCAATAGAAAGCAGCCCAATCACCAGCTTGCCTTTGAGTATCGCAGGCGTCAGTGCACGCGCCTGTACGGGCTGTTACCTGTACAGGAACTCCTTCCAATATTGTAGATTGATAAATACCGTTCAACAATTTATATAAGTGCAGAGGCAGGCTGCTTAAAGCTTTTTATCAGCGAGAGATCTCGCTGAGCAGTAAAGTAACGCCGAATGACATTTTTTAACGTGCTATAGCTGATGAGCTGTCACTGCGTCCTAGCAGGTCTCCACTCTATCGCGGACAAGATTTAGCTGCTAGTGTGTACTAATCCTATAATAACTCCCGAGAACAAATCATTGAATGCTTAATTTGAATGTACCATTCAGATCGCAGCGTGTTCAACGACAAGAAAAAACTTTCGAATGTTTCCAAACCTTCCTAAGAGAAACTCGACAAAGCTCTAAAATACCGAGCAATGCTTTAGGTAAAATTGCAGGCTCTGACTGCAACTGGTCACCAAAAAATATCACAGAAACAAACAAGGATGTGCGGAGCAATACAGGGGTCTGGAGAGCATTATAGACTATAGTAAACCAAAGGGTTCGTTTTCCAATAGGTGCACTGAGTTTGAATTGTCAAAAGTTTTTGGACTTCTTAAGCAAGCCCCAAAAAAGAAACAACAACTGTAGAAGAATAGAACTTTGAATGAAAAAATGTTTATTGAAAGACATTACCACACAGTATTTACAATTTCAAAATAAACTTTCTTACTCAAAGCGCTCTCAAAACATATTCACGAACTTCTCGAATGTTGGCTGGCGGCTGTGACATAGTAGCCAAAGTATGAAAAAGATAACCCATGCAAAATCCATGTTGTGCAGCACTGCAAAAGCAATGACTTCTTGGAAGCAAATTCCGGTGTGACTCGCATCCCGGTGGACAGTATCGTGAAGCGCATTTTCCATCTCCCTATGGTCCTCTCCATCACGCGCGTACACGGCGATGCTCGTGATTGTAGCGCATTTCCAATAAATCAACTCTAATTGGAAGATAGGGCGCCAAGATTTCGCTCCATCTGCGTACCCGGAATTTCCAAAAAGCGCGTCACTTGCGCATGTCTCACCAGAAATGAACTGTTGTCCAAGGGAGCATCGCCTTCACACAGTCGCATCATGTACAGAGCCTGGGAACCTGCTGTTGACCTAGAGGATACGGTCAGTAGCATCCATGACTACGCAGACATTTGAGGCTGCGATTCCCTTCCTGCTCATGTACACATAGCCATCTCGGGGAGGACTCTCAATTGGCACTGTTCCGTCGATGCAGCCAATTACATCTTAATAGTTTATATTTCTCTTGTAAATCACTGAAAGTCTACTCACTGCTAGGTTTTCCGAGCCTGGCAGATTCGCTAGTCCTATTTCTGCACCATGGAGTATCCCACGGCTTACAAACGATGAACTGTGAACTATTTCTGGATGGTTTAACGCCATAACCACATTGTGCGCCACATTTGAAATTTTTTTGGCAGCAATTCAAAGTTTCACCAAGGACAGTTTGGTGCGAGTTCGTCGCAAGATATCTCACACCTATTGCCACCTGAAAGCTTTTCTTACAAGGAAAGAATGGTCGGTCGAAATGGCCTTTTGAGATGGGTTGTATAACATGTTGGAGGGCATATAACACTGATTCCTAATCTGTCTTCATTATCAGCGGCGCTTTCCTGTACGAGAAGTTATGAGCGTTTGTTGGATGAAAAATTGAATATGCAAATGATATTAAAACAGTAGTAACATTTTTCCTAACGCTTGAATGGACCAGTGGTAATCTTTCCAGCACTCTATAAAATAAATACTCTTAGATGAAATATATCCGCATCTGGCTGTCTCATTGAAGTGCTGGGAAAATTTCTGCATCTGTTTTTATCCCAGAAAACATTCATTTTTTGCTCCTTCGAACGCTTATTGCTCCTTGTCCAGGAAACCTCCGCGGATTAAAAGCACAGATTCAAAATCAGCATTTTATGCCCTCCAACATCATATACAAATCATGGCAAACAGCCACTTCGATTTACCATCCTTTCCTTATCAGTGAAGTGCAGCAAGAAGTTTCCAATCGTGGGGGACATAGCAGGTTCTACCTGCTTTTTTTTAGATATCCCAAGATCTGCTGCTGTCATACGCTAGTTTCGATGACAAAAGCATCGTGAGCCATAACAATCACTTTCAGTCTTCTTCTTTCAAGGTATGGAATCACAGGATGAGCAAAGCTCTATGAGACGATAGTATGATGAAAAACTAGTAGAAAAAAGAGCTTTCAAACGATATAGGCTTGGTCATGA